TGATACAACTTACGACCCATAACTTAATATTAAGGTAGAGATACAGTTTACCTGACAGGTATTTTAATTAGTTAATTAGGAAACCAAGATGACCTCCCTTGACCACAAAACTATATATTTTCGGAAAGCTTATTGTATGAATTTTAAAGTTTTGTGAGTATTTTATTTTTATGGACACTGTAGTTTGAAATATGCACAAAAATGTGCTTTTTTGGTCAAAAGTGATTTAAAAAAACCATGCTTCTGTTTCCTGTCAAAATTGGTTTATGGGTACATCTGTTTACTATAAAGAAAGTGCCGTCTTGAAAACTGTCAACCAGTTGTCAAGTTTGTAGGGCAGCAGCTCAAATTTCACTACTTCAAGTTTATGCATAAATTAACAACCAGGCTAGTTGTCTGTACGATAGTTGTAACACTGTTCAACCAAAAACAATGCCCCGACGGCGTTTTGAAGATAAACACATTGTCAATCATTTGTGAATATTTCAAAACAAAAGGTCAAAGCGTATAGGAGCTATTTTTGTTTAAAGTTCTGGAATGTGCACTGAAAAGAAGCTGAGATAATTGCTAATTTGCATAACAATTCACTCAGTAAGACGTTTGCTAATGCTCATAATTAAAATTACCGTACAGTTTCAAATTTAAATGTATTATCGTTTTGTAAAAAAGTTAAATACAGTGCATAATATGGAGATCCCGTCATTTCTTCTTTTCACCGTGTTTTTTATTATTATTTATGTACAGCCTTGCTAAATCTTGCTAAGCATTCACAAGAGATAATGTTTGCACCTGTTATCTATATTTTAAAATCGTGTTTTGAGTATGTTCCACTATTCACAATTCTACAAAATGTCAACAGTCTATAGCCAAGACTTTTTAGATAATAAAATGCAAAAAAAAAAAAATTCTCTCCCAAGTGCCCACGAACCTGCATCTCTACCTTAATTACGGTACTGTGGCAGAACATTGATTACAATACTGCCACGAGCGTGTATTAATATTACCGTTGTGACATACCTTCACTGTTCTAACCATCAGTTATCTTTCCGTTTCTGATATTCTAAATCATGTCATGCAATATACTTGCGTAAAATTCGCCCCACTACCAACGAAGTGATTCAGTGATGTTAAAATGACGTCGGTGAATGAAATAATTGACGGAATACTACAGATCAGTCCAATATCGAAATGTGAATGGCTTGCACTTTCACTCATTTACACGAAAGACGCGCCCCGTCTATGAATGACATAACCATTAGCGTTTAGTTGTAAAGCTTATAGCTGTATACAAACACGAAACATGTAGTGACATGAATACAGCTTCTTCCTTCCAACAAGAACGTGGAAGAAGTTAATAACGTATCTGAATATATATTATATAAATTTATATAGTTACTAGCTTACATACATCATTCAATTCGGGTTGCTTTAAAGCGGGGAGTCGTCACCTGCGCATGCGGCAGTCTGCCATAGCGTGTCGCTGTTTACAGACAAGCGTCTAGTCATGAGCCCTTGTGTCTTTAGCTCAGCGTTGTTATCGTTGTTTGGGACTCAATTCTCAATTGTCCCTTTCTTACTTAAGTCGATAATATATTACCTATATATATATATATATATATATATATATATATATATATATATATATACCTTGATTTAAATTTGGCAAACCTTAACACACACTTCCAGAACCCACTTTACTCACAGTTATGTTTAAGTAGTGTCTACATAGCTATATACTTTTTTCATTAACAGATCTAGAAGAAAAAAAAACGTCCGAATGCCTAAAGTTCTTTGATAAGGAGAACAGGTTAAGCTAGGAAGTATAAAACTTTTAAAGTAAAAAAAAGAATATTATCTATTTATTTATAACTGTGATTCACCTGATTTGATGAATTCTTTCGGACTTTTAATCCATGTAATACTGGACCAAAATCACCTTTCTGATATTAAATGACCGCATGGTGTGAATATTAGGATGTTTATGCTACGCTAATGCAAAAATCTCATACACAGCTTTCATTGGCCATCTATTGGCATGCTGTTCTCGTTACTATATAATATGTCACATGACATACCATCATGTGTTGACTCATTTGGTGCTAGAGAGGTATAATGTTGACACAGTATTTAGTATTTTAATATATAAATCCTCGGGGACCGGAGCAACGTCACAAGACGTTCCACGTTGCTAAGACGCGCACCACTGCACTGTACCACGTATTTCTACGGGCTCTGCGCGCGCTGCTGAGGAACACGGAACGCCGAGCGAACTGAAGAGCCGGTGACAATTCGAGAAAACAACAGGAACTCAACTTTGAAGTAATCCTAAACAATTAAATTTATATGCGTTACACACGCAGGGGGTAATCTTGCTACACTGTTCAGGGGAGTCTCAACAACCATCCCAAAGTACCGTTTTCGGAGAGTTTATCGGCCTTTGTTTTCACCGTGATGGTTGCCATGCGGTGAAAATGCCCGGATGTCCGCCCTCGAGAATACATTGAGGGGACATGAATTGTTACAAATTTAACATTGAAAGTGAAACATGGATCGATAATAAAATCGTAGTCAAGCTCACTATTTAAAAAAAATATTCCCGTATCGCACAAAAGCGGAGTCCTTTATCTCAAATTTCACACCGAAGGTGCAAATTCCTTGTGTTTTCAATTTGGTTTAGATCATCCCCCGGGGTTTTGTTCTGTTCGTCTGCTCAGGTTCGATTGACAAAGTACATTGACTTCAAAGGCTTTCCTCTATATCGTCTGATAGCAGGCTTCACATATTACTGATCGATCAAAAAAGGCATACTTTTAATATACGGCAACTTATTTGAAGTCTTTATGAACGTAGTTTCTAGGACATGTCATTTGACGACGGTTAGTTCATTGATATTAGTAGGTGGGCTTTGATCGATTGTTAAGTTGACGTATTTTAACCTAATAAGCCAATCCACCTAGATAACTATATTACATATAAGTCATTTATTAACTCCAGTATTACGTCGCAGACGTTAAGCAGTTTGTCTCAAATACCTTTATCTGTAATATAAAAGTAGGTAGTGGACGTCGGGTTGTGTCTTTGTAGTTTTGAAGGGTCGTTTTATAGAAATAAAGATTTAAGGTTTATTCTGTATCATCTAGATTTATTTTTGTTGGATAAATTAATGTGATGTCTTGAAGAACGTCGGCTAAATTAGCAGCCCAGGGAGATATCAATGATAATTTGTTTTTAATATTTAGACTCTCTCTCTGTCAGTTATATGTCACTATGAAAACACATACGGATATTTGTATTACGCTGTTTGCTTAGAGAATTATATGACGCTACTCTCGTCGACAAGAGTGGAAAGAAAGGGGTCTATGTTTTTGTACCAACATGTGCTCATGCTAGGCGACTGATCGCCGAGATCTCGTTCACAGCGAGAGCCACAAGACTTGTTTTGTGTCCCTCAAACTGTGTTTCATTCTGTCATTACATCACGTCTACTATTCTGCGCCGTATTTGAAGGATGATTACGTATTTGAATTAAAATATGTAATTAATAATACGGTCAAACTCGTCTTTTCATAAAAGTGGTCTTTATATGGAGGTTTGTGTATTGTTTTAGAAATAAAGTTAACTTTAAATAATTAAATTTGTTTTATAAACAGAAAGATAATTAATTTATTTGTCCCAAAACAAAAGCGAATCTGCAAAAATATTGCTAAGGAATATCACGCAAGACAGGTGGTCTTTATAGTCATTCATTCAAGTTGTTCATACGTTATGCTTTGGGACTGCCTAACAGTGGGTACTAAAGGCAGGCAATCACTGATACAGGCTCGACTGTATTCATTTACGTCAAGTTTCCATAGTAATTTCATTTGTGTTCTTGAATTTGTAAATTTTGTCTTCAAATATGGATTTGTAGATCGTTTGGCTATGTTTTTATCGCTAACTTAAACACTTGACGTTAGATAGCGATATAGATTTTCTGTTCGGAGCCCGTGTGACTGTAAACATTAGTGTTGGAATGTGACGAGCACATTTCAAAAATATGGAAGACATTCGAACGCGGCGTTGTAACTCACTCGACCAGCTGAGGTCGGTAGGCCTAGGCAAGGCCTAGACCAGTTTACACGACCGGAATAATCTGACCAGATTTACCAAAGTTCAAGTATGTCCGATTTTTTTAAATCTGTTCAGATTTTGCGGTTTACACGATGCAAGTTATCTAAACAAATTAATCTGATTCTAATTCTGATTAATTCTAATTATTTAAAACGTAATAAAGTGTTTTAATCGCAAGTAAAACTATAATAACTAGGAAGTTTGCCACACGACCAAGCCTGTCCAAATGAATACACAAACACACATGAAAACTCCACATATAGTGTGAACATTTCGAATCGAAGTTTAAAACCTCTCGACCAACTGAAGAACTCATACGGACAGACCTTGTTGATATCAGTACTGAGCATTGTCAAGAAAGTGGGACTGTCAATTAAGTCAGGGATTTTTATATGAATGCTTTTGGACATAAGTAGAAGGATTACATATTCAAAAGGAGGTGCTTCTCGTTTATGCATTAACCTGAAATTACAACAGCAAAGCAATTTGAAAAGAGAACAGACTTCTAACAAACGTCTAGTACCACATTAGTTGATGTCTCAAAGACATATAAGTACAACGTAAATCTTGATATCTGCATGTTATGCAAAATAGCGGGATGTGGCAGATAGTAAAACTATTTGTTCAGTTCTGCTAAACTAACACGCGTGTCTGGATGGTAGATACACATCATACATCATCGCGTTTGTGCATGTTAGATCCAACACAAAAGGTTTCGTCCCTGGATAAAGTAACCAGATTTATTTTCAAATCAACGCGCACAATGGAATCGACATTAAATAAATAAATTCATCTTTGATCCTTTTGGTAATTCTGTAAAATAACAGTGATTACTTTGTCATTAGAAGCGTATTAAAATTGACGCATATGACGCTACATCATTTGTTCAATGCAAACCTTACGTCGTATATATGATCGCGTTCAGTACGGACGCTCGCTCAAACAGTGTGAGGCAGCTAGTTGTGCAATATGAGGAACTTATTTTTATTTCTTGTAGCTGCCTGTGTTGTAGTTGCCATATTACCTAATAATGCACACGGCAAATCGGTAAAGAGACTGTTCAAGACTGGCCGAAGAAGTACGGACGATGAGCCGGTAAGCTATTCTCTATTTGATTAATTATGTGTTTTTTTTTCTTCCCGCGTCGCGGTTAAACCCTGTATCCGTTGGAGGGATTTTTCTATCCTAAGGCATTCACACGTTTATCTAACTGATTAGTTCTACCTTGCCAACCGGCAAAGATTTTTTTAAAAGAACTAAGTACGATCATCTGTTTTCTGTGTGGAATAAGCTCTGTGACGTTGTTGAGTGATTATAAATTCTGAACCCTATGCAGAACGAAAGTTTGCAACAGTAAAATACCGTTTACAGGGAAAAGTCTGTCGATACCATAGACTGAAATTTATTCTCCTATTTACCATATTCCTACCCCTTATAAATGATCAGGCATTATCCCTGCGCCGATACCGTAGACAGACATGTACGTTCTCATTTCCCCATATTGCTGCCGATAAAGATAACGACTGACCCCTCTGCAATACAACGCTAGTACTGCCACACTGACCTACCCATGTTTTTGACATTGCTGGTTAAATCAGGAGATAAACTATACTATCGCAGAACACCATTATGTCTTTCAATGTCCCCACACTCAGAGCATGTCAATATGACCAATCAGGCTGAACACGCCTTTATACATCTGTCCTGAAAATTACCGTAGTCGATATGACATGGAAGGTTAAACTCCTCTATAGCCAAATTTCTCGGTTCGTTTATCAGGTTATACTAGTAGTTGAGATTGTATAGTTAGTTTTTTCTCCACGTGCATGTACAGTAGATATATAACCATAACTTTGAGTAGTTGTGCTCATCAAAGACTTCGAGGCTAGATGGGTCGGGCTGGAGGTTTTGGTTTCATGATTGTTTCATGATGTTATGGCAAACTCTTCATTTTTAATGTGAGAAAAGTGTGGCAGTATGGTAGTTATAATCAAAGAACGTATACATCTCCAGTGTTGATTTTTTCCATATAAAACAGAAATCCACCAAAAAGATTTAATTAAATCGCGCTTTAAAGTTGCATTACCGACTGCACTAGTACTTAACACACCAGACTTCTTATTTCTGTGATTTTTCACAAGTCTTCCTGGTGATTTATATTCATGATTATATGACTACATATTTTCAACTTTCTTGAAAATCAGTAAATAATTTCACCAATACAATAAATATATTATTTGCTTCTACAAAGTCTTATCTGATTGAAAACGTGAGGTATTTCGTTCATGAAACAATTATTTACCGACTCAAAGACATTCTCGCTAAAAAGGTTCGCTGAAAATGTACGTCATTCACGTTAACAGATGCGCTAAAAGGTACGCCTCCATGGAAAGTACTGATTATTAGCATTGACTTTATCCTGTTGGCGTTCATAGATAAATTAGGATATCAATATATAGCGTATGAGCATATATATTCTGAATTTCTGAGTTTTGATGCTACTAATTCAAGTGGATTATTTGTGTTATAGGGCATATACCGCTTGTCTCCCATTACATCTGCTAAAACATGTTTTTGAAATATTAATGATAATTTCATCAGCCGAGGCATATGACAGCCTTACGAATCAAGTCTTTGCCTATAACTAATTTCTGTAATGTGTGAGACCAAGAAGAGCAGCAAGACCCCATCAATTGAGTCCAGGCATATATATATAGTCTAGATGTGGGAGTCGATTATTCCAAAACAAAAGTGCTCAATACAAAGTATATGTAGAGCGGATAAATGCGGTAATAGAGGAATTAATACACAACTAAATGAATATTGAAACTCGACAGCACTGTTTCGTAAGGTACAAGTACCTCACTCATCAGGAGCTTTATGTTTAATTCACTGCACCAACGAGCATACATATACTTCGCAAATTAATATATTATATATACTTCGCAAATTAATATGTTATATAAACTTCGCAAATTAATATA